TGTATTTATTTGACAACTATATGTCACTTTGACAATTAATTTATTAATTAAATAATGACAGTACTTGTTAAAAATGACTTTGGTTTTTACCTTCGAGTTGCTGTTTATTAAAATTATGTTTTTCACAAACATTTTTGTTATTTAATTTGCGTAAATTCATTTGCCAAAGTGTCAAAATAATAAAACCGCCAATGTGATAGGACTTAAAAACCAGACAAAAATTATTTTAAGTCCAAAATCAAGAGAAAAATTAACTTTTCTTCTTTCTGAGTTAGAATAATGAAGTTTTAATTACAGATTTGCTTGTTTCAGGTGAAGCAAAAAATGTTTTTCCTTTGAAGTTTTGGCGTAAAATCAAAGATATTTTTTTTCCTCTTGTAAACTCAATCCGGGGACATACTGTATTATCAGAATTTGTTGACTTTTTTAGCCTCTTATTGTTATTATTATTTTTATAGCGACTTTCAAAAATCTATTTCTTTGTGTTACATCATCAGATTTTAAAAAAATCTGATTTTAAATTAGTACTTTAAGTACCCTTTTTTGTTTTTTCATTTATATTTATTTTTGTTTCGATCTTGAAGTTATTTTTTTCCGAAATTGTCAGTAAAGCGTCTATAATCGGCACTAAAGTAGTTCATTATACTACGATTGTAGATTGTGAACATATGCAGTGTTGTCAAATTATTGTCCTAATGTAAACATGAGGAAAGACATCATTTTTATTGCTAACTTATATTTTTTTATAAGTATTGGTTTTTAATTCAATAAATATTTTTTCACTGTTTCGTGGTTTAGTATGGTGGGCTAGTTCATTTGCGTTTTATACTATTGGAACGAGAAATCTGACAACACTGGAGTATACTGTCAATGTCATGTTTTATTAAACACACACATTCGTCATAAAAAATAAAACTTTAGTGCCTTGATACATAAATAACAATTTGCTTAATCAAAATCTGGATTGTGTAAATAGAGTTTACATTTTTGCCAAATTAAAAGATTTTTGCAGTTTTATAATTTTTTTTTTTTGGACATATCAACAATTTGTGGAAAACTGCGATATGACAAAATTCACTTTGCAAATGATTACATTTTTTTAAATATAATTATTATTTTTTGTTATTATTCCCTTGTAGAAGAATTTAAAAAGTATAGAGTACAGCCACCTACAAAAGCATTGTTAACAACGTTACGATTGCATATTTTTTCTTTTCTACTTGGATAAATCGGTCAAATTGAGTGGTGTAAAACCGCCTCTGTCACTCAAGTGTTAAACAGTGTGCAAATAATTCGCACTAAAACTCCCTAAATGCTTGGTAAAAAGTCCCTATTGTTGGGTCGTCGACCATGAGGGCATTTATTTCCGGCAGCCTCACGCACCGATTTCTCGTTTGCGTGTCCCCAGCCGTCTCGATAATGATCGCGAGATGCGCTCGGAGGGCGTAAACCGGAAGTGTTAAATAACAATGAACCTGCGCGCCGCTTCAATTACCACCCACACATCCGGCGGTGTACTCACCATGAAAACCATATGAAATCCTGATGATGACCGGCTTATCTTGGACGAAATCGGTCGAGTTTCCTGTCACAATCACGCGCGAATCATCGTCACAAAAGGCACTGAGTTCTGAAACAAAAGCGACGGATTTTTGGGCGTTTCTGTTTTCACAGACGACATAATTAGATATCTTATCAGTCTTATCGTGCAACACGTGCGTCTCAATAACATCAGTGTTGCTGGGGTAAAGTGCGATTGGGGGGCCCTTTTTTCTACAAACCTTACTGGCCGCGAGAGTCCTTAATGCATTGTTTGTAATTTTTTTGAAAAAAAAAGTGGGGGTTTTTGGGGGCGTTACGAGTCGGGATCGGAAAACATCGTAAATAGCGGCGAAACTAACGCCATCAACGTTAGATACACACTGATGGGACACCACGGCTTCGACGAGAACATAGCGCACGGGAACATCACAGGCGGCCTGGTCGAACCAAGGACCCCACTATGTGCACGATCCCCACCATAGTAAAAGGCTATGTACGGACATTCTAATAGAACAAACCGATGGATAGCTAAAACAGAGACGCCGCTGATTTTATACGAGGATGCATCAATATACAGAGGTGACCTCGGCAAGATTATATAAGGATGATAACCCAAAGAGCGTGTGGGAGTTCACTGATAAGAGATGATTTCGAAATTTTTAGGTCGCGATTGCCATAATTTATGTTTTTGTTTGGGTGCGATTCGCACATTTTGACGTAAAAACCCAATTTGAGACTTTATGACTCGAAAAGTTGGGGTTCGAATCCGGTCCAGTTCGATTTTTTTCTTATTGTTTTTGGGTAATTTTTGTATGGAGAATAACAATAGTATCGTTATCCAAATTTTACACCATTTTTAGTTTGTCAAATTTACGCTTTCTCTTCAATCATTAATGATGTCCTTTTGTTTGTTTTGTATTAATAATAATGGGATAAGTGTCGCAGTCTAATAAATAGAGTAAAGTGTTATGAAATCATTTAAACACCTCCCACCTCTAAAAAAAACTTGAATAAAAATTTGGATACGATTAAGGGTGAAATCGATATATTTTACCCGCAAACACACAAAAGTGGCCACTTTTATGACTACATGTCACTTTTTCGACATTTTGCACTACTAACTGCACTATTCATTAACTAGTTAAATCATTAAATACTTTCGAAAAACTCAAATTCCAATACTTATAAGCGTTGTTATGATTTTATTATTTTGTTCATTTACTTTGTAATTACACAGTGAGCGGCAAAATTATGGAATAATATTATTTATTAAAAGTGGAAAAAAATTCATATATTGTTTTGACAAAAATGCTCAAACAGGTCAATTTTCATTTTAAAAAATACAAAATTCTCAATTTGAATTAAAATTCTATGTTTGCTTGCGTTTCTTTGGTATTATTTCACTTTTTTGATGATTTTTTGAAAACTTAATATAATATTTAATATCTTGGTGTTGTCATTTCGACAATTAAAAGATCTATCGAACTAGTTAAAAAAAATGATGGATTTTTATTTAAAAAAAAATGTCGATTGTCCGAAAACCAAAAAGTGTAAAATTTTGAATCAAGTTGGAAAATGTCTATTTTTAAAAAAGAAAATTGACCTGTTCAAGCATTTTTGCCGAAACAAAACATTTTCAGTTTTAAAAAGATATTCCATAATTTTTCCGCTCACTGTATACATACAGGGTGTGTATCAGAACTCACACCCTAGAGAAAAATTTCAAGTAAAGTAAGATATTAGGAAGCTAATAACACAATATTCTATTTTTTATTGTTTGAAATTATAAAAATGAATAATTATATTTTAGATTCTGGATTGTTTTGGTTTAAATTTTGTTTTCTTGTTTGTGTACATTTTATTAACAATTTTTTATTAAATAATTATTATTTTGCCTATTAAGTTATATTTGAAAATTTAGGATTTGATAGTGTTTAGAATTTTTGTTTTTTAATGAGAAAGTAAACCATGAATTTGTTTTTAATTTTTAGGATCTTTACTTTATTAGTTTGTCAAAATTTTGTTTCTAGCTTCTGGACATACCCAAATTTAAAATAAATTATTAGAATTAGAAAACATTCTAAATTTCTAATACGTATTTTGAAATTGTTTTTTATTATGCTTTTTTTGTAAAATTTTTATTTTCTTTTTGATTCTTATTATAATAATTCTTAGCTTAATTATAGTTATTTATTGTAAGAGTGTGTTATATAGCGTTTTATCCACGCAAGTATGTTTTTTTTTTTTCTTTTTCTTAAGTGGATAAAACGCGACTAACACACGACTGCAATATAACGTTTTATCCACAATCACATGCCCAAATTATTCCAAACTTAATTAAAAATTAAACTGACATTTAAACGTCCCGTCAAATGTGCTTTCGGTTAAACGTAGTAAGCTATTACGCGGTGCACTGGTTACTAACAGTGGAATAAAGTTACTTTATTCCACTAGTGGATAAAGTGGTACTTTATACGCATCTAAAGTGTGGAATAAAGTCTCTTTGTAGAGCGACTGTGGATAAAAAATAAAATAAAATATCGTTTTTTTGTCATTCATTATTGGGTATGATAAATTGAAGAAAGGTAAAATAAAGAATTTGGCAACTCGAAAATTTGGGGCTCGATTACAGATCTAGTCAATTTTCTTTCTGGTGATATATTTTTTAATGTCAAGACAAATAAAACAAAAAATACATTGTAATAGAATACTGTTTTAATTGAATTTAGTTATTTTAATTAGATATTGGCGATAAACGAAATAATAACATACTCTTGTATTGTATAATAAGTGTTAATATCCGTAGTAATGACAGTATAATAACATAAAATTATAAAACACCGTGGCAAAGAAAATTGATTGAATAATAATTATGAACGTAAATCATGTAGGCCTCGATTCTTTTCTATATTTTTTTAGGATTAATAATGTTAAAAAAGCATTTTTAATGTATAAAGAAGGTAAAAATTTTACAACATTTAATAACTAATTAACTACTGTTGTTTAATTCGAATTATTTTTTTGAGCATTTTTTTGCGATATTTATAGGTAGACAACACATTATACGGTATATGTACATTAACAACAGTAATTTTTAAACAACAAAAACAGCATTTTTTTAACGTTTTTAAATTTGAAATTACATTTCAATTTTAATGTTTTTATATTGTTTTTGCGGTCTATAAGTCGGCAACACATTTAACAGACGTAAAAACAGTTTACTGTAATTACAGTTTACTAACTTGCCGACAATTTAAAATTTCTAAACCAGAATTTAAAATGAAAAGTTGTTACATACACTTTTCATATTTTTATTCTGTATAAAATAGCAAGATTTTTTGGCTCGTAGTTTGTCAGTTGTAACACAGATATTTAATATTTGTAACCTATTTCACCTCAAAAAACAATGTGGCTATTAGGGTGATAGACGTTTTTAGTGATCGAAATAAAAGAATATATTTTCACATATAAATATATTTAATCACTTACACCTTCCTAAAACAACAAGCCCAACAAGAACATTAATAATTTATAAAAACCAAAGAACAAAACCGTCATTAAAACATAATGCAACACCATTAATTTATAATATTTCACCCTCCCTTCGGGCAAAGTTGTCAAGGGGTCTTTGAGTAAATAAGCCCTCGCCCCTCTAACATACGTATAAAAATAGGAATCCCAATTGAAATTCTTCATACTAAATTCGAACAACTCTTTATCACGCTTCCCCATTTTTTTCCAAAGCGATTGGACATTGGAATTGGTAAATTTCCATTCGCGTGAACTGAAGTAACTTATAACATCGGCGAATTTATTAATTTTTTGGTAACCTTTCACCAACCTAAAAACCACGACTTGTAATCAGTTGATTTACATTATTTCGAATAATTACATTGGTTTTTTGCCTAAACAAATGGCAATAAAGTCGACCAAATACGCCGGGATTGTGTGGAGGAAGAAAACTGCGATTAAATGGTGGATTCTTGACGATCGCAGGGCGAAAAAGTAATGCCAGACTAGTAAGGGGGTGGGGACTTGTTTTGCGTGCTTTTCGGCCAGTTTTGTGTATATATCTGCAAAAAAAAACACTTACAAGCCTTGATACGTAATAAAAATGTTAAGAGAATACAGAGTGTTCCGGCTAAACTTCAAATTAGAAGTATTCGGAGTTCTAACAATGATATTTATCTAAAATTTTGTTTATACCTATAATCGGTTAGGTTCTGCTCAATAAAAATATTTTCAAGATGGAGTCACTTCCTGTTACACCGGAAGTAGATATCAACTTCGTTATTTTAAATAGAAAGTTATGTTTTTTAGTGCGTTTTTGGATTACTCAAGTGATTTTTGGAAAATTTTTATAAGCCTTTCTCATACTTAAGTTTATCCGTTTTCGAAATATTTAGACCTTTGTAAATTTTTCTAATTGAATCTTTCTATTCAAAAATCGATAACTCTACCATTTTTTATTATGTTGAAACCGTATTTGGGTATACGAGAGAGAAAGGTTAGATCTTTCCTTTGGTGTATTCGTAATTGGAAAAATAATTAACAAACCGCAAAAATGTAAGGTTACGTTTAGGAAACTTAAAATACTCTTAACTCAATTTTCCTAAATAAAACATCCCAATTTTTTCTTCACTAAATGGAGAAGCATTTAGTTCTGCTTCAATCTGTATTAACATTCCCTATACCTATGTTTGATAGTTTTCAAGTTATAGTAACTTTTTTTGATATTGTGAGAACTTCATTAGCTATAGCTGCTTTTGCATAGGTTGTCATAGAAATAAGAAAAAAATAGAATATCAAAGTTATTCAAATTTAGATTAAACAAATTTAATTTGTATTTACGAAAAGAATAATACAATTATGAAAAAAAACTTGGCGTTTTTAGTGACAAATATTTCCATGGCAAACTATGCGAAAACTGCCATGGATAGTAACGAAGTTTTTTCATTGTAAAAAAAGTCAAAATAACTTTGAAATTTAGGTTTAGGTAATGTTGATACAGATCGATGCAGAATTAAAATCTTTTTCATTTAGTGAAGAAAAAAATGGGACCTTTTATTTGAAAAAAAAATAAAATTTGGAGGTTTGTTAATTATTTTTCCAATTATAAATACACGAGAGAAAAGATCTAACCTTTTCTTGTCATATGCCCAAATACGATTTTAAAATAATTAAAAATGGTGGAGTTATCTATTTCTAGAGAGGAAGATGCAAATTTAAAAAATATCAAAAAAGTCTAAATATTTCAAAAACGGTTAAATTTAGGTATAAGAAAGTTAAAAACTCTGTCAAAATCACTTGAGTAATCTAAAAACGCAATAGAAAACATAATTTTCTATTTAAAATAACAAAGTTGATATCCATTTCCGGTGTAACCGGAAGTGCTGCCATCTTGAAAATATTTTTATTGAGCAGGATCTAAACGATTATGGTTACAATCTAATCTAATGCAGGGTTTAGCAGGGACAGCCTGTATATGCGGTACATCAGACTGCAGAAATAATGTGTTGCCACATTAATTTTGCAAGTGTCTATACATAAAGTTTTTTTTCGAAATTACCCCACGTGATTCCGGCTTCCGGCGAACTGACAAAATTATAAACTGGAACTTCCTCTTCGAATTGATTTTTTCCGTTTTTCTCCCGATTTTCATTGATTGATTTGACTGAAGCGATGTCCCAGGCCGAGGCTAAGGTACAATTGACTACATAATCGGCCGGTACCATTTCGGCCCCATTTTCGATTTTTCCATGAAGACTCCTCAAGACTCCAACAGCAGCCCCCACGAGTACCCCCGTCGCTCCATATAAATTATCAATCCATCCAGCGACCGGTTCCTTGACCGATGCAATAACTGAATTTTACTATAGCAGAGATTAGCATGACGGTAAGTGCGACTTACCGATCGACGGCCGAAAAACGGCAACTGGTAGTGTCTTTCCTTCGGTTTTTATCACGTCTTCGGCCACGGCTTTGGTAAAGACGTAAGTGTTGGGGTACTCGCCCATGATTCTGCAAGGTGCGGTAAGTAGGGAGTGAGGGCGGAAAATCGTTACTTACATTGGGGTGATTTTGTCGAGTTTATCGTCGTCTAAGGCGTCCAATAGGGAAAGGAGTTTATGACCGGAGATGGGGGGAGGGTAGAATTCTTCACGGATTTCTTTTTGGATGCAATTCGAGAAAGCCGTGGAGACGTAAATCATAGCCTTGAAATAGTATACAGGGTGTGTCAGAACTCGCACCCCAGAAAAAAATTTCAAGTAAGATAAGATACAAGGAAAATGGAAAAAAATCTGTCAAAAAATTTTGACATTTATTTTTAGACATTTGACATTTTTTATGTCTATTTAATGATACTGATGATCTTGTATATGTTTTTTTACAATTATTTAGTAAAGGGACAAAAATTTTGCCAAGAAAAGCCACAAATAACATTAAACAGAGTTGCAATTTAGGATACAGCTTCCTTGTTTTTTCTTCTTGTAGCAAAAAAACTTGGAAAATTGTTTTTCCAAAAGAATAAATAGAGTCAAAGTGCAAAATTTAAACTCTTATAACTTCGAAATTTTTATAGATTTTTTAACATTTTTTCCCTGTTCCTGGTCCTCTGGGGCCAGAGTTCTGGCGCACACTGTATTTCAGGAAATTAAACCACTCGCTTCGCTTGCAAGTGGAAAACAAAATTTTTCAATTTTGCTCGTTTTTTTTTTTTAGATTGTGAAAGTGCGTTTAATTAAAATCGAGGAAAGCCGCTTCGATTACCTAATAGACAAGGTTATTTTTATGGAGATGAAATTTATTCAATGTAGCACACGTAAAAAAGAGAAAGTTAATATTAGATATGTAACGAAACGGTTTAGGTATTTGGTGATGCGATTTTGTTTTATTTTTGATTTCGTGAGCAATTTTTTTGTCGTTACGGTAAATTTATTGCAATATTAGCATAGATTTAATGCGGATTTGACGATTATGTCTGTGATTAATTAGCAGGAAAAATCGTAAATAAATATTTTTGGGTATAAAGAATCTCGAGATTTTCACTTTGTTTCTTCATGCATGAAGCCTCTCCTTTCGATTAATTGCCTATCATGGTTTTTATGAATGGAGGTATCTCCGCGGAGGAATTTTCATACTTTCTCAAGTTTTGCAACGATTTCCTCACTAGGATTGATTTTCATACGAGATGATTGAAAAAATCGAAAAAAAACTTGAACTTTGAACAATCACTCTAGGAAAAAAAACCGCAACAAAAGATGAGAATAATGATGATGTTTCTTGCAGGACTGAAGGTCGATGTTACAATTTAATTTGAGTACAGATTGTTGTTCAAGATTTCAGATTCCGACAAACATAAATCCGATAACATAAAGGTCATAATTTTGTCTAAAAGATACTCCAAATACTCGATTTTGCCTCTCACCCTGTATAATGTTTCGAGTTGAACTTGAATGTTTGTTAGTATTTTGTAGAAATTTGCTCGACTGATAAGAGGGAAATGGACTTGAAAGGTTTTTTTATGGCTTGATTAAAAAATATGTACGGTGTGTATGGTCTCAATCACGAACATAGGCATTTAAATGGTATTGTTTATGGTATTGATTTCTACTAGCCAATAGAACCTATAAATAAGATGATGGTAGCTATTGAAAGATAAAATTATTTCGCCTCAAATGATTACAAAAACAAGAATAATAAAATTATTAATAGAATAATAAATTTATCAATACGTAAAAGAAGTGAAAAAAAACAAAAAATATACCTAGCTATTTATAAATAATCCAAAAGTGATTTTGTTATGATTTTAGGAGTCAACTTTTATTGTATTGAAGGTATGCGGTACTTGTTGTCGAAAACGTTACAGTTTTTTTACAGTTTATTTGTAATTAAGTAAAAATACTCCAGAGAGGGCTTCTATGGTCAAAACGTATTAGATTTTCTTTATTACTCAATATTTTAATAAAGACCAATTAAATTCTTGATTACTTATAGGTACCTGTTTATTTTATGATCAAAGAAATTGACGAAATACTTAAAAATCGCATTCAACATAATTTTCCTATGTTCGAGTTTGAGACCAGACACCGGTATGTCATATTTTTTTAAGATTCACTATCAAGTTAGCCTTGATTCAGTAGCCACACAAACTTGTACAAATGCAAATAAGTATGTAGTTTTATTTTGAATACATAGGAAACTTTGACATTTTTTGTCACATCTGAAAATAAGTATACAAGGTGCGCCAGAACTCGCACCCCAGAGAAAAATGCCTTATAAGGTAAGATACCAGGATAATAGAAAAAAATGTTAAAAAAAATATCTAAAAAAATTTCGAAGTTATGAGGTTTAAATTTTGCACTTTGACTCTATTTATTTCGGTTGGAAAAATAATTTTCCAATTTTTTTTACTATAGGCTATTAAAAGAGGAATCAAGGAAGCTGTATCCTAAATTGTAGCTCTGTTCAATGTTATTTGTGGGGTCTATTGGCAAAATTTTTGTACTTTTGTTTTTTGTAAAAAACATATACAAGATCATCAGTATCATTAAATAAACATAAAAAAATGTCAAATGTCAAAATTTTTTAACAGATAGAATTTTTTAACCATTTTTTTCATGTTCCTGGTATCTTATCTTACTTGAAAATTTTCTCTGTGGCGCGAGTTCTGGCGCAACCTGTATATTTGGTCCTTGGGCAAAAATGTTGTAACAAAGTTATTTGACCAAAAACAATCAACTTAATCAAAGCAATCAGACTTGGAAGTAATTTCACTTCACTTTCATAATAATTTGCTGAATTTATTTGAAATTATAGTTAAAACTGCAAAATATTATTTACAATCGCTATTTTATGATTTTCAAGTCGTAATTTGAAAATAATAATAATAGCCCAGTCAAATTATATAAATCGGTGGAAAAAAATCCTAGAGAGTTGGAATTTTTTAAAACGCTTTTATTCAATCCTCTATGTTAAAATTTTATTTACTCTTTTCTTCATGTTAAAATGAAATTTTATCGTCTAGATGATGAAAAATACATCAATTGTTGTATATCTGCGGTTGTTAGTTGCTAACAATCTTTGACATTAGATTTCATTGTTGAATTTTACATTGACATTTATAAATATCGACCAAATTGACTACAAAATTAGTGAGGATTGAATAAAATTTTATATTCTACACGACGATAAAATTTTCGGCTGACGCCTCGACGCTAAATTGCTCTCAAAGATAAAATTCAATTTTATCGTCTTGTATAATAAATAACTATTTTTTACACTTGGGTAGACATACAGGCTGTACCAGCGAGTTGAAAAAGTCCTTTAAATGGTAAAATTTAAAAAAAATGTATAGGACATTGATAGATACTAATCTAGTGCATCACCTAAAATTACTTTCAACCATACAGCATGTCCCAAAATAAGTTTCGATACGTGTTTTTTAAATGAAACATCGTATGTTTCTAGGCATTTTTGGATGTAGCCTTTTAAAACGATGTTTTTACGCTAAACTTTTATTAGATGATTTCGCTTAGTTTTAGGAATAAGACGTTTTTTTTTCACAAAAACATGCACTTTTTCAAAATTTATTATTACACAAAAACTAAGACATCTAAAACAAATTTTTCTTTACTTCTGCAAAGAAGAAGATACAGGATTTAAAGCTGTAGCAATTTTTTGGTGTTTTGCCTTTGTAAAGATTAATAAATTAAGAAGTTTGTTAAAAGTTAATTAACTTAAAAAAATTTAATGGAGCACCCTATTTTTTATTTTTGCATCTAATAGATTTATAAATTGTTTATTTAAAAAAATAAAGATTTAATGTTTAGAATTGATAAATAAAAAGATATTTAACATTCAATATTAATTGTAGCAACAATGCCTGCCATTATCTGAGCATTGTTGATACTATAGCAAACATAAATTATGCCTTGATTTATCCAGAGATTGCAAAAGTCGTTATAAATACTGAAATTCGAATTATTTTATTGTAGAAATAAAAAATAATAGTTTAACACAAATGTGATTATTAAGTGATATTTCTTCCATCTCTTGTGCAACTGTGCACTTTTTGGCTACTGAAACAATAGTATTTTTTTTTAATGTTTAACGTTAAATATCTTTTTTGTTTTTGTGTAATAAATTTTTAAAAAGTGCATGTTTTCGTGTTAAAAAAATGTCCTATTTGTAAAACTAAGCAAAATCGACCAATAAAAGTTTAGCTTAAAACATTGTCATAAAAATCTACATCCAAAAACGTTAAGAAACATATAGTGTTTCATTTTAAAAAAAAACACAAGTTTGTATTGTAACTTATTTTTCAGACACACTAAATAGTTGAAAATAATTTTAGGCGATGGACTAGATGTATCAATGACTATATATATTTTTTTGATTTCACTTATGGTCTTTTTCAACTCGCTGGGACAGCCTGTATATCAAAAGTCCCCAATGGTGGGAGGAGAGCTTGAGGAGGGGGAGGGGGTTAAATGTGTTTTTTTTAGTTTTTTGCTTATATCTCGGAAACGATCACACCAAACGATTTTTACTTTCTTATCAAAATTAAAGGTTACAAAATTTCCTACAAAAATGGTTCTTTGCATTGTTGTTGTAGGACTAACTGTAGGTCCGAGAAAAAACATTATTTTAAAAAAATGTACTTTATCCGCATTTAAAACAGAATTAGTCTTGTGATTTGAAAAAACTGTCTCTGTTGACAAGTCTCAATGTGAAATTTATTTTTAAGCCGAAATTTTAGTAATTTTACCTTGTTGGGAATTAGAGTGGGTCATGATTTTGTTATAAGGTTGGTCACAATTTCAAATGTCAGTTTCCGGATTAGAATCATTTTTTTTAAAGAAACATGTTTGAAAAGGTACGATTTGAAATGTGATGTGTCATGATGAGTGTTGGCTACTATGAATCAGCCTATACCTAAATTGTTGTAATTTCATTGATTTTTTGTCAGAATCAGAGCAAAGTCCAAAATCGAAATTCCAAATTCTGTTTCAACAATTTTGAACTTTTCCACTGTGTCAAAATTACACAATTTTATTCACACAATCCATAAAACCTGTTCACAACAATAACTTTCCTGGCGAACACCACAAACCGAATTGTGTCGAAATAATCGAGATCACCATGTAAACAAACAACTTCCGTCTCAGACTGATTTTTTCGCTCTAGGCACGTGTAAACAAGTTTTTTTGCACGCTTTGACGTAAACCACGAGAATCTCGATTGCTACTTTTTTTCCGTTTGGCCTTGCGCGACGTTCAGTCATTGACCGAGATTTTGTAATTTCTTCCTCACCTTCAAGTTCTTCATTTCTTTGGCCATCTTGATAAGGTCTATAACTGCACGTACGTTGATGTGCGTCGCCGTACGAATTTTTTCATCAAAACGGACCGTTGCAGCATAGTGGATTATACAGTTTGTTTCATTGATTATTTTCGCTTTGTCTTCGTCGTTTAAACCTAAGTCGGGAAGGGTACAATCGCCGTTAACCAGGACGACCTTCGACCCGAAATTCGAGTGTTTGCGTTTCAGGGGTTCCATATTCTGAAAGAAAAAAGTTTCAACTGCAAATGGTGAAAATTTCAATTTTTTTCAGCCACTAATAAGCGAGATATGGGCTTGACTCACCCAGTAGAATGTTAAAAGACCAAAAAAAAAGACAGACACCCTATAATAATGGTAAAAAGTTTCACTTCAATTAAACGAGAAAATAAAATGTCTGTAATTATGTGTAAATACGAATATAATTATTTCAAATGAAAACAAGAAAATACAAAACGTAATAATTAGTAATTTCATCAAAATGTACACACTGTGTTTTATTGTATTTTATCTAATTAGATAAAATTGATTAGGACAAAAACGTTTCGAAAAAGCAAATTAAGTGTAATTTACGTTACTACATGGTTATTTAATTGTTATTAATGACACAAAAAGTAATTTAATTAGTTTTGTAAAACGTGACATGTTACACAGATATAACAATGTTTCCTATAGTTTTTTAATTCGATTTAATTGTGTAATGTAGAGTCATTGACTCACACTGTACAAAGTAACTAATTAATAAAATTACAATTTAATACAAATTAAGATGTTTACGTAGAAATAAATTGCAAAAACAATTATTATAACCGCATAGTGATGTCATGTGAATGCATGGCTTACTTTACCATTTTATTTTAATTAAAGAAATAAAAATTCTTTTCGAGTTGATTACTAAAATCCGGATTTTGGAAAAGTCGGGTTTTTCCGACGACTGATAAATTATTCATTAGAAAATTTTTATTACAAGATAGTAAAACAGACGATATATTTAGACATCATTAACATTAAAAACTGATGACATTTGTCTATTGTTTCAATTTTTTCAACATGCAATGACGACAATCGATTTACGCAATTGTTTAATTAGAAATTTGAGAAGATTAATGACTCGAAAGGAAAAATTTCGTCAGTTTAGACCAACCTTGCAGTTTATTTCCGGTGCTTCAATCCTTTACTCACTTGACCATTTTCTAGTTTAATTATAATTAAAAGTGTGTACGTCATTTGCTGGAAAAATATACTCTTTCATGTTTGTTGCTATTTTATTAACCGTTTTTATATCAAATTAGGAGAATATTTATTGCGAATAATTATAAAACCCACTTTGTGAAGGTTTTCTAGGTAAAATCTACAAACAATAAGAAAATGAATAGGTACAGAAATCAACATGCTTGGAAAAAAACAAAAATGGGTTAAAGCACTCCTTTTTGTTATTTCAAGTTTGACAACAATGATTCTATTTTCTTTGCAAATTAATGCGAAACGAAGGAAAACCATCCAAATAAATAAATACTAATTAGGTAACAAAATCAGTGTCAGTGTCTTCGCTATCATTTCCGTTGTTAATTACATTGTTTCAGAATTAAAAAATCGCCGATTCAAGGTGACAATAACTGTCTCTAATGTCTGCAATTGTTTTTTTTTTCGTCGCTAAGTAGCTGTGACGTCAAACAAGGAAGATGTTCTTCACACAAATGATAAAATCACTGAAAGTTTAGGTCACACAAGTTCAAAGTATTATTTGCAAATTAAGCGAAGATTTTGGAGCCATAATTAAGTTTTTGTCAATTACATAATTAAACGATGAGGAAATTGTCATGAGATCTTATAGTCATAGTTCGCCGCTTTCGAATCATGCCAAGACGTGATATGGCAAGCCATAATCAATATAATCATTACCATTATTGTAATGGTTCACACATGTTCATGATTTTTTAATGATATGACACTTAAAAAATTGCAAATGATGTTAATTTACTTCCTTGTGTATGTGCCATGCCCATATAGTGTGTTTCACGAAAATATCTCAATTATTTGGTGAGATATTTGAGACACCATAAACTTGTAGACACCCGGTATAGAGCCCTGAGCTACCAAACTAATTTAAACATATTTTCAAGTAAACAATTTTTTGCTTGTTATTAAAAAAATGCCAACACAACGAAATTTAAATTTTTGATTTTTTAGTTTTAATTAAGTTCCTTTCACATTTTTCCATTAAGACCAAGACGAATTTCACGGTCAATACGTATTAAGTTTTCATCATTTAAAAAACGAAAAAATACTCATAATTACCGGTCCGTCGAAAATTTCGTCGAATCTCGTCTGTACGTCTTTGCCCTTTTTCGCCCTGACCATCACGAAGATTTTCCTCACGTCGTAACAATCCCTCAATAGTTTTTCCAAGCACATTTTCCCCAAAAATCCGGTGGCTCCGGTGAGGAAAACTGTGGAATCGAAGTAGAATTTTGCGATTTCACTGGATTCTTCCGGGAGTACCATGTCGGCGGCGGTAATGTCGCCGCCTTCGCGTTCCATTGTTTCATACATTTTCTGGAAACAGGATTTTCATTCGTTGATTTGCAAAATAGTGGTAACCTAGGTCACTGATTTGCAATTTTAATTGTGAAAAATTTACGATTTCAAGGCTTTTATGCGTCAAATTTCATCTTTTCGTAAAAATATTACTGTTTAACAATTGAGGTCAATATTGACCTGTTGAAGAATTTTTTATGCATTGTCAATGACAATACTGGGTGCACAAATTGCAAAGTCCACTTTGAAATACCAAACGAATCTTTTTTTGAATCACGCGTTATGTCAATATTTCTTCAGAATGACAGCTGATTTTTACAGTAGTATAAAAATAAGAGTCACTAAATAAATATGCCACGAGCATGATGTTTACTTATGCAATTAAGTAATTAAAATTTATATACCGAGTAAAAAAACATATACGGCGATTATACATTTTTACGAATGATGAAATATTAAGATCACCCTGTTTACCAAATCAAATTAAAAATTAATGAATAACGCGGGTATTTAATACAAATTTCACAAAATTTTTATTTTATGGACAAATATTCATACATACAGGGTGTGTCAGAACTCGCGCCCCAGAAAAAAATTTAAAGCAAGATAAGATATCAGGAACATGGAAAAAATATTAAAAAAATTCAATCTGTTAAAAAATTTGACGCTAATGTTTTGTCATTTGACATTTTTTATGTCTATTGAATTATATTGAAAATTGCATGACTCTATCGAAGAACCAATCTGAATTTAGTATTAAATATGGTTACCATAGCAAATTTTTTGACTCATTAGCTAAAATTAATAAGTAGAAATTTTTTTGACACACAAACTAACCTCAAAGTTTTAGTAAAACTTCATTTTAAACATCAAAAACTAAACTAAACTTGAACTCATAAGTCATGCAATTTTCAACCGAATACCACTCGTGCATTGATTAAATCCAGAATTTTTTTCTCATGATTGGCAAAAACGTGTAAATGATGTTTTTGACAATCACTCGAAAAAATTTCCTGAAAGAATCAATGCACTCGGGATATTATAAGTGAAAAATTGAAATTTGAATTTACCGGGTTAGCGTTACTAAGAAACGAACTATCAAGTCAAATTGTGACAAATTCTCCTTTGGCAACAGTGACTTGATAGTTCGTTTCTTAGTAACGCTAGCCCGGCAAATTTAAATTTCAATTTTTCGACGATCGTTTTCGCCCATATGGAGTTAATTGGAGAATCGACAAAAATATCGGTAAGATAGCCCTCTTCAAGCAAACTCCATCAGTCAAATTTTGATTGTTACTCCTGCAGCCGGAAAAAAATAAAAACTAATTCTCCATGTTAATTTCCTATATCCAAGCCTGCCTGGGACTCCCGGTATATGTTTTTTCTCTGGGGCGCGAGTTCTGGCGCAACCTGTATACCAATTATAATCAATTTTTTTTAAAAAGTTTTTCATTAGGAGTTTGCAAATTAATAAGTGGAAATTTTTTTGACACTAAAACTAACCTCAAAGATTTAGTAAAACTTCATTTTAAACATCAAAAACTAAGACTAAACTTGAACTCATAATGTCATGCAATTTTCACCCGAATACCACTCGTGCATTGATTGAATCCGGAAATTTTTTCTCATGATTGGCAAAAATGTGTAATTAATGATGTTTTTGAGAATCACTCGAAAAAATTTCCTGGTAAACAATCAACGCACTCGGGATATTACAAGTGATAATCTTGTATATGTTTTTTTCTCTGGGGCGCGAGTTCTGGCGCAACCTGTATACCTATCAATTATAATCAATTATAAAAAAAATAGTTTTTCAGTAGGAGTTTGCAAGTCAAAAACTGGGAGTTTATCGGGTGCCTAGATGAAAGGATATACAGGCTGTGCTAGAACTCGCGCCCCAGAGAAAATTTTCAAGTAAGGTAAGATACCACGAACATGAAAAAAATGTTTAAAAAATTCTGTCAAAAAATTTTGACATTTATTTTTTTACATTTGACATTTTTTTATATCTATTTAATGATACTGATAATCTTGTATATGTTTTTTTTACAATTATTTAGTAAAGGGCCAAAAATTTTGCCAATAAAAGCCACAAATAACATTGAACAGAGTTAAGTTTAGGATATAGCTGTATAGCCTGTAGCAAAAAAACTTGGAAAATGATTTTTTCAACACAAATAAATAGAGTCAAAGTGCAAAATTTAAACTCTCCTAAATTCAAAATTTGTATAGATAGAATTTTATAACATTTTTTCCATGATCCTGGTATCTTACCTTACCTCTGGGGCGCGAGTATACAGTGTGTTTCAAAATTATTTTCATCTAAGTGGGATACAGCTTCCTTGTTTCCTCTTTTAATAGCCTATAGCAAAAAAACTTGTAAAAATATTTTTCCAACAGAAATAAATAGAGTCAAAGTGCAAACTTTAATCCCTCATAACTTCGAAATTTTTATAGATAATTTTTTTTTAACATTTTTTCCATGTTCCCGGTATCTTACCTTATATGCCATTTTTCTCTGGGGCGCGAGTTCTGGCGCATCTGTATATACTTATATAACAAAAATTTCAAAACCTTGATTTTTTCATAAATATTTCCAAAATTGTTTAGTAATTCTATGATGAAACTTTCTTGAATCACACGTTATGTCAGTGCCTACTTGATTTACTACTTGTAGCTGTTACCGGATTATTCTATCTCCTATTTGGGTCACTTTTACCCAACACGACCTAACATTAGTTTTTTTTTTTCAAGAACTTATAAAAAATTAAATTATGATCTATCATGAATAAATTTCAAATTTGTTTGATTTGAAAAATGAAAAAGTCAAAAAGTGTTACCTACCTTTCAAATAGTATGTCTTTTCCTAAATTAGAAATTGTGGTTGAACGAAACCACACTAAACCCACCACACGCGTTCACTTTTCGATGCGTACGTAAAGTTTATAACTGACATTGCAAGTTTGGCCCAAGAGTTCTCCACGGCAGGCTTTTGCCCCACTTCGTCGTCGCCGTAAACTCATACCTATCACAAAACACATTTCCAAACAGGAAATCTCTTCGAGCACGCCCTTGATCCGCGAATAAGAAAGAAGAGAAGGTCGGTCAGTCGGTTTTTTCGGTATTTCTTCCAAGGCGTATTTGGGAAAAACCAACGACAAACTTCCTATTCCAAGGCTTAAAAATCACAAAATTACTCTTTTTTTCTTTAATTTTTTTCTCAAAAAAAATTGCAGAAGTGTTTTTTGTAGTCAACGCCTTAAAGGTGCAACGACATTTCCAAGTCTAGACATTTTTTCGTCTGCCATAAACTCGTACTTTCTAGAGGAAGGAATTGTAGCACTGGGTGGGAGGTAAAATTTTGAAAAAAAACGCTCAAGGCGAAAAAATTATTATTTATTTAAAAACTCGCCCCAAAAATTTTTTTGTTTTATTTGGATTGACATTCGCGCGACATCTAGTATTAGATTTAGACATAGCAGTAGTAACCTGTATTGAATTAAAGCACAAGTTTTAAAACAAACTTGATGAAAAAATAAATGAGACAAATTAACACCCCCATTGTGAAGTAGTACGCAACAGCTAGAAATTGCACCTTCTTATGTCCCTCGGGAATAGTCTCCAGAGGGTCCTTCAGGAGGTAGACCCTTCCACCAATCACGAACGACCTGATATAAGAACTCCAATCGAGTGTGCTCATGTCAAAACTGTACAAATTTTTATCTTGATCATTCATTTGTTTCCAAAGTTTGTCAACATTGTCATGCTTGAAACTAAAGGAATTAATCGTGAAATAAGTCACCAGGTTCAAGGCAAGATCTAATCGTTTTATGTTTTGAACAGCACTAAAAAAATTTGGTTAATTAATTATCAAAAGTTGGATTCAAGTACCAACATTGGTTTTTTTCCCATACATTGTAGAATAAAATCGACTAAAGAAAATACAACAGTGTGGAAAAGAAACGTTTGTAAGTCGTGATAAAATTTATTATCGGTGAATGCGAAACCATAGTACCACACAGCTTTGGTCGTTGGGTAATCCCAAGCGCATCTCTCGATCAAATCGTTGTATTTTTCTTGAAATTTGTAAATTAAAAATTGAATATTCATTTCGATTCACTTACGCCAAGTCACTGCATTTGTGTTTGAACCGACGTAATTATAAATGGTAAGTGTTCTAGACCTGAAATTAATTTGTGATTTATTATGGAGTTGTAGAAAAAAATTATATTTTACTTTTGTTGGCCCACATGCCATGCTGATGCCAGGATTATGTTACAAACGTAATCGCAAGGTACCAAATGTACTGTTGCATTTTTTTGGCAATACAAACTTCGGACGACTCCTAAAGCTATAGCTACTGTCACTCCTGTAATGCCGTAGAAACTGTCAATCCATCCAGGCATAGGTTCCTTAACACTTGACATTATTACCGCTGGTCGTACTATTGCTATTGGAAGATTTTTTTCTTCAGATTTGATCAAATCCTCAGCTATGGTTTTGGTGAAGACATAAGAGTTGGGCCATTTGCCCATTAATCTGCAATTTCGAGTTATATAACACAATTTTGTGAAATTGAAATTACCCTGGAGTTACTTTGTCCAAAGTTTTGTCATCTAAAGAGTCTACAACTGAAAGTAAATTTTTAGGGGTCATTGCAGGTTCATAAAACGTTTCATCGATGTCAAAATAGGGACAATTGGAGTAAGCTGTGGATACATAAATGAAAGCCTGAAAAAAGCACTCTAATCCCTCTTAATGAAAATTAAGTGAAATTACTTTCAAATTTGGCATTTTCTTAGCCAAATGGATACAATCCTGTGTGCTTCTAACATTGATATAAGTCGCAGTTCGCAAAGGTTGGTCAAACTTGACGTTCGCAGCGGCATGTATCACGATACTTGTTTCGGCAATTAGGACATCTTCAGTCTCTTGTGAAATTCCCAAATTCGGTTGTTCACAATCACCACTCACCAAAGCAATTTTTTTTCCAAATTGGGGATTTTTATTTTTCAAACGCTCAAAACACTAAACGAACTAGTTTTTGAAAAAAAATGGCAAAAAGTCACTTACCGGAAAATTGAACAATTCGCAGAAACGTTCGTCGACACTTTTCCCTTTTTTGGGACGCACTAAAATGTAGATTTTTGCAATTTGGTCCAATCGAAGGAGTTTTTCGATTACGATTTTTCCCAAAAAACCGGTTCCACCAAGAAGAAAAACTGTCTGGTTTTTGAAAAATTCGTTGATTTCACTCGAAGTCATTGTTTCGATGTTCATGTGAAGAGATTAAACATAAAATGGCTCTATGTGTGCGAAATGGGCTTCTTTTATTCAAAGGATGACGCATTTTAATTTTTTTTTAATAAATGCCAAACATGTTAAGTGTCAAGGCTTGCATTATACAGGGTGTCTCACGAGTAATAATTAGTGAGCCTGAAATAATTTTTGAAGTAAGCAAAGATTATTAAAATATCTAGTTTTTATTTAATTAAAGATAGTGATGGTGTTTTCAGTTTTGACAAAGTTTATACCTACTCAGAGGCTCCCGTTTATTGGATATCACCCTGTATACAGGATGTTTCAAAAAGATGTTGTCAAACGTTAGGAGGTTATAGCGGTCAATGGCATAGATGTATTTTTAGTATTATGACTTTTAAAAAATTATTTGCATCGGTAAAATCTAAGCTTTAGGACATCATTAACTACATAACTATATAAGAAATTTTGGATTTGGTAGGATTTTAATAATAATAATAATAATTAATATTATTTGCAACAAGGAAAATAATTATTTACATAATTTTAGTAAATCTTCTATTTGAAAGTAAATCTCCAATAAATACAGTATGTCCCTGGATTGCGTTTACAAGAGGAAAAAAATGTTATCTTTGATTTTACGCTAAAACTGCATCAAAGGAAAAACATTCTTTGCTTTACCTAAAACGAACAAATCAGTAATTAAAACTTTATTATTCTGACTCAGTAGAAAGAAAAGTTAATTTTTCTTTTGATTTTGGACTTATAATAATCTTTCTCTGCTTTTTAAGTGCTATCACATTGGCAGTTTTATTATTTTGAAATGATGTCACTGTGACGAATGAATTTACGCAAGTTAAATAACAAAAATGTTTGTGAAAAACATAATTTTAATAAATAGCAACTCAAAGAAACAGCTTTAAGATAAAAACCAAAGTCATTTTTTACAAGAACTACCATTATTTAATTAATAAATTAATTGTCAAAGTGACAATGTTTTTCCTTTGCAGTTATGGCTTGAAATCAAAGATAAAAATTTGTTTCCTCTTGTAATCAAAAGTGGAAAGGTGCAGCTCCTAGCTTTGTTAATAAAGCTGAGTCTATTATTATTTTTCAATTCGGAGACAAACTGTATGAAAATTATGTATCGGATTTTTTAAGGATTTTTAGAGATTTTTAACTGGTTCTTATAGGAAAAGGAGTATGAGTTTATAGAATTTTTGAGAATTTTTAGGAGATAAAATTTTTGAGAAACCCCTGTAGTCAATAATAAGCCGTTTGTCCTCTCGCGTCACGCTTTCTTGTTCACATTAAAAGCCGTGGACATTTTAATAATTTGTATTCAAAATAAAGCAAAAAAATTACAATAAATGGCGACCCCCAACTTGGCTACATCAATTTGCATAATTTACATAAAATTGGGGCTAGCCATTTTGAACATTTATTGTATTTTTTTCTGGCTTTATTTTGAATACAAATTATTTAAATATCCACGTCTTTTAATCTGAACAAAACATGCTGTTTTAAAAATTTTAAAATTCAAGCAAATATAGACAGACTTTAAAAAAGTAATGCTTACTTTTTTAAAGTCTGTCTATATTTGCTTGAATTTTATGGTTTTGACTTACCAAACTAGTTTATGAGGGATTTAATGAGGGTGTTTGTAAAGTTATTGTTACCAAAGCTATCGGCTGGCCGTTGAAGCAACCTCAAAGGAAACAAATTTTTACAATTGAGAGGTTGGGGTTTCTTTATCGCTAAAGGCCCAAAAAGTTAATTGCCTCTATTGCATCATATTCAAGCCAATATATACAAACTTTAGACAAAATTGACTCCAGAGACCAAACGGCTTATTTTATATGTAAAAATTTTATACCGCATTGACCGCTATAACCTCCTTACGTTTGGCAACATCTTTTTGAAACATCCTGTATAAACATGCAGCCTGCAAAAGGTTTTTTTAACCTTTTCCTTAACTGAGAATCATGTCGGTCTTTTCGTTATTGCTAAACATTTTAGTAAACCTCAGCAAGTTTACCAAGGTTTGACTTTTTATAAATGAAAGATGAAATGCTGTCACAATATGTGATTTATTAAGAGTAAATAATCCACATTATCTTTGAAATGTAATGTTGGTTGCTTAAAAAAAATCAGGTTTTTTATTACTCGTGGGACATCTTGTATTCCAATTTGCAAATTTAAAATAACGAAATAGTTTTTTCTGGGTAAAAATATTTATTCAAAAGAAAAAGTTGAAAATGACCTTAACCAGAAGAAAAATGCAGTAAAACAACAAAACTAAAGATGAATAATAAGCGATTCTCAAGAACCTGACTTTTTTGTGTCCCAGAGGAATACTTTCTTCCGTCTCCTTCAACAAATAAAGTCGACCCCCTTCCACTGTCCTTCTGATGTAATTCCCCCAATCAAACTCGCTCATATCGAAAGGATACAATTTTTTATCATCCTCTTGCATGTTTCCCCAAAGTCTTTCGACATTCTTATGCGTGAAGCTAAAATTATTCAGCGTGAAATACGACACTTTACTTAGGGTATAGTTCAGTCTTTTGACGTTTTTCACGGCTCTGCAAAAGATTGTTTATTGATGGATTTTTAAATTTTTTCTCACTTACATTGGTTTTTTGCCAACACATAATAGAACTAAATCGACCAAACTAAAAACGACAGTGTGAAAAAGAAATGTTTGGAGGTCGTGGTAAAATTTATTATCAGTGAATTTGAAACCATAGTACCATAAAACTTTGGTAGATGGATAATCCCAAGCGCAACTTTCGATCAACTCGGCGTATTTTTCTTTAAAAAATTTGATTTAAGTTAGGTTGATTTAAATTTACAGACTTACGCCAAGATATGAGGTTTTTGTTCGAACCGGAATAGTTGTAAATCGGAATTTGAGCTGGCCTAAAAAAATTATTTATTAAATTTATTTGTAACTTGTTCTATTTTACTTTTCTTTGGCAACATTCCAAGCAGATGCTAGAATAATGTTACAAACGTAATCACAAGGTACTAAATGACAAGGTGCTTTTTTAATAGCGTGGACACTCCTCACCACACCCAGAGCTATAGCTATTGTCATTCCTATAACACCATAAAAATTGTCAATCCATCCTGGCATTGGTTCTTTAGCACTTGATACCACTATAATTTCAGAAAATAGCAATAGTTGTGAGAAATTTAATTTTACCTATCGCTGGTCGTACTATTGCTATTGGAAGATTGTTTTCTTCAGATTTGATCAAATCCTCAGCTATGGTTTTGGTGAAGACATAAGAGTTGGGCCATTTGCCCAATAATCTGAAATTTTGGATCAAAAAACACAATTTTGTGAAATTGAAGTTACCCTGGAGTTATATTATCCAAAATTTCGTCGTCCAAAGAGTCAACAATTTGAAGTAAAGTTTTTGGGGTCACTGATGGGGAGTAAAATTTTTCATCAATGTTAATATAGGGACAATTTGAGTAGGCTGTGGATACATAAATGAAAGCCTGAAAACAGCACTCTAATCCCTCTTAATGAAAATTAAGTGAAATTACTTTCAAATTTGGCATTTTTTTAGCCAAATTGATACAATCCTGTGTACTTCTAACATTGATGTAAGTCGCAGTTCGCAAAGGTTGGTCAAACTTGACATTAGCAGCAGCATGTATCACGATACTTGTTTCGGCAATTAGGACATCTTCAGTCTCTTGTGAAATTCCCAAATTCGGTTGCTCACAATCACCACTCACAAATACAATTTTTTTTCTAAATCCCGGATTTTCCTTTTTCAAACGCTCGAAACACTAAACGGACTAGTTTTTTGAGAAAATTACAAAAAATGACTTACCGGAAAATCGAACAAATCGCAAAAACGTTCTTCGACAGTTTTCCCCTTTTTGGGACGCACTAAAATATAAATTTTTGCAATTTGATCAAACCGGAGGAGTTTTTCGATTAGAATTTTTCCCAAAAAACCGGTTCCACCGAGGACAAAAACAGTCTGGTTTTTGAAAAAAGTATTTATTTCACTTAACGACATTGTCTTGAACTGGAACCACAATCAATAAAGTGAGTATTTATATCTTCAAAATTTTAAATTATTCGGTGTTGAAAAAGAACAGTCACTTCATACATAACAATTTTATTCATTCAAAACGAATTGACATTTTCGTTCTATTATATTTAATTTGTAATTCTAAATTAGCTGTTTACCGTCTATTGTATAAACGATAAATTGGTTACTTAAAAACACTGAATCGAGGATAAACATCAAAACTTTAAACCAAAAATAGCAATAAGAGTGTAATCGATAACAAATAAAATCTAAAACCAAAAGGACTATCAGGACACATAGGATTCAAAAGTTTTCTTATCGTTATCTGTCGAACATTGGAGTCATCAAAAGTCCAATTTCGAATCATAAAAAACAAAGCTAAATAGTTGTAATTTTGAGCTTTTATTCAGTTACCATTGTGTCAATTTTGATGATGACAAAGGGAAAAAATAACAAAACTTGTTCCGGTCGGCACCCTTGTAATAAGAAATTGACAACTCATACTGTTTATCCTTCCCTCTTGAGGATAATTGTTATAATCCTAAAGTATGAAACCTTTTATGTTAACTAACACTGATTTAGTATCTTTAATAAATAATTTTAAAGTTTTTTAATATTGTAATATTCTTCCTTTGATCTCCATTAAGATGCCATCCTCATTATGAAATTTTCAATTTATTGGAACTCGTTTCTTCTATCAAATACTCAATTAACATTATTTTTAGGCCGACTTGGCTCTTTAATTCAGCGTCTAAACTACTCGAATTATGTTTTCTGCGCTGATTAATACCGGGTGACTGTAAATGATTGTGATTTTTGTACACCCGGGGAAAAAACTATTCACCAGTCTAACTTCGTACTCGGGCTGCGCTTTGTTGCAATAGCGTTTCAGACTAACTAGGTAGTTGGAGAGCAGGTAATATGTCCAAAAACCCTTATTTAGGAAGTTGGTCCGGACCCGAAAAATGTCTTTTTGAGAAAATTACTTCATTATAACGTATACATTAAATTGTGATTATAATAAACAAGCTTGCTCAAATTATCAAATTACAAATTCATAAATTTATTTAAGAAATGTATTTTGCAAGTATTTTTTTGCGACTGCAAAATAAAAACATTTTTAGCTTGACTTGACTTTTAAGGTTCTTTATCTACAGCTTTCAAAAATCAAGATTGTAGGACTAGTTTTAAATGTCAGAATTTTTTAATAAACTATAAATTTTGCCAATTTCTATTATTATTTCTTATTATAATCAAAATTCTGAACTTAAAAATACATTTTATAATAGCCAGTCAAAAGGAAACAAATTTTTACCTTTGATTTTACGCCAAAAAAGCAAAAAAATCCTTTTTTTTTCTATAGCAGATGTTAAACTATTTCTTTAAAAACTCTTTTGAGTAGATAAAATAACACTTTAACAGCAAGAGTTGCTTTTGCTTTATCTGAAAGTAGAAAAGTTAATTTTTTTCTTTCTTTTGGACTTGTATTAATAATCTTTCTATGCTTTTCAAGTCCCATCACATTAGCGATTTAATTTTTTTGACAACGATGTCACTTTGACAATTAATTAATTAATTGAATGTTTGTTTTTGTTAAAATTTACTGTTTTTTTCAAAAGCTGTTTTCTGACTTGCCATTTATTAAAATTATGTTTTTTTACAATCATTTTTGTTATTTAACTTGGGTTAACTCATCTGTCAAAGCGACATCGTTGTCAAAAAAATAAAACGCCAATGTGATGGGAAACGCAGAGAATAAATTATACTAGTTTACACGATTTTTATACCTTAGCTGAAAGTTATAGTTTCTCATAGATTTTGAGGCACTGAGAAAAAAAAACTATTTAAAAAAGTTCACCATGTTACGTTTAAGAAATAAGTAATTAACAAAAATACAAAAACCGCCAAAGAACAAATTAAAAATGAGTTGTTTTACTTTTTTTTATTAAACTTTCTTGGATCAGTTTTCTTCATAACAATCCAACAGTAATCTATTAACATATTTTCATCCCAAAAACCTTCATGTCGATCTTTGAAAACCCTTCAGATCTTGATGAAAACGCTCGTCATGTTTGTCACTCATGATCCCTAAATTTTTAGAAAAGAAGTTCAAACGCGAGTGAAATGTTTTTAGGACCTATTTAGACCCATATGGTAATAATTTTGCAATAATTTGAATTTAAATAAATTTTAAATCGGAGGCATTTGTGCAGAAAGCAGGAAAACTGTCACGTGATAGAAAAATTTAACAATTATTTTTGTTTAATTAAAGGTAAGTTAACATAAAAATAATTTTAATTCGATTAAAGATATATTAAACATGTTATTGTTTGTAGACTATAGTATCATTAGTTATTACAAACTCAAAATCAAGAGAAAAATTAAATTTTCTTTCCACTGAGTGAAAATAATGACCTTTTAAAGTTACAGACTTACTGGTTTCAGGTGAAGCAAAAAATGTTTTCTTTTGCAGTGTTAGCGTAAAATAAAAAATAAAAAATCCGGCGACATACTGTATAATATTAGTTATTATTATTATTATGGCATTAAATTTTTTTTTGCTTTGTTTAGAAGTAACAAAAATAAATATAAAAAACGGAAGTAACTAGCTATTTGTTAATAAAATTAAAAGTAAATCACAAAAATTTTGTTAAGGAAATGAAATACATGGGCATGCATTTTTTCTCAAAATTTTCTTAGTGTCATTTTGCAAGTTATTATAATCACCATTTAATAATCTATACTCATTGAAGAAATTTTCAGAAAAAGACCGTTTTGAAGAAACGTGTGTCCCCGAGTCCGGACCAACTTCCTAAATAAGGGTCTTTCGACATATTACCTGCTCCCCAACTAATTAGTTGGAAACACTATTGTAACAAAGCGCAGTGTGAGCAGAAAGTTAGACTGGTGAATAGTTTTTTCCCCGGGTGTACTTCAAGTTGGTGTCAAATTTAAAATTTTAGTTTGAGAACTTTGACCATAGATGAATACTTATATAGGGTCTATAGATGGCGTACTCATGTACAACCTTTTGAACTCGTATTCAGCAGCGCCTCTGTAGTTTGGACGCTGAACTATAGAGCAAAATGTGCCTTTTTGAAATGGTAAAAATAATGTTAATTGAGTATTTAGTACAGGGAGATAATTGCTACTGGCATCTTATTAGAGATTAAACGAGGAAAATATAAGTTTATTTTTTTAAAGTGATTTATTAAAGATATTGAATCAAATTAGTTAACATAGGTGGTTTCATACTTATATGGATTATATTAGAACAATTATGTTCGAGAAGGAAGCATAAACAGTCTGAGTTGTTGAGTTCTTGTCACAAAAGGGTGTCGGCCGGAACAAATCTTCATATTTTTCCCATCAATGTCCACATTTTCATCAACAAAATTCACAAATTGTGTTAGTAAAACTTCCTTTACTTGTACACACAGCCACACATCTGTACACAATAAATGAATAAAAATCTAAAAATCATAACTACACATAAGCACTTTGAACGATGTCACCATCAAAATTTAATTTTTTCCATCAGAGGTGTCACAGCCAACCGCTAAAATTTTAAAATTTTGATGCGTGCGCCTCTGGTGTTTGGACGCTAAATTAAATAGATATACTGAATTCACCAATCTAAGAAACCATAGCATGACTTTGACTTTCAAATTCAAACGTCAAACAACTGCTGATTTAGCCATAACCTGAAACACCCTGATATAAGAAATTATTTTTTTTTCTAATTAATAAAACTAATAATTTTTTCTCTAATTTTCAGAAAATTTAAGAACAGGGACAACACCGATTTGGGTATTTTTGGGGGTAAACATTTGCAGCTTGAACAGCATTTTCACAGATCAGAAATCATGTCTGTTTTTTTATTGTTTGAATACACGATCTCAAAAGGAAGGTTGCCTTACTCTTGTTTTATTTTATTTTACTAGTAATAATAATTACAATTGTTTAATAATTACAAATTTGTAATTATTATTTGTAATTTAATTTAAAAATTAAACCTGCATTGAGCTATGCATACTTGCATCAATACAGCAAAATTTTTAGAAATAAAAAATCTGGTGTGAACATCACACGACTTTCCTTATCCAACTTATTTGGATAACATCCTTACGGTTTTGGAAATCCGACTAGCCAACCTAACGTTTGCGGTCTATTTAAGAATCACCCTGTATTGCTAAATATTTGTCTTAAATTTTATTTTTCTAGAAATTCTAGTTTTTGAAATATTACTAGTTATGTTTTGCAAAGACGTGTAATGGATCTTGCCAATTTCGAATATTAGATCTGTATGACTTCATGCGCGGACTGTTCCAAACTCGTTCACCGCTGTATCATATCTTTATTTCATAGTATCATAAACATCATCATATCCCAAAAGCGTGTGCAACAAGAAAAAAACCTGTAGTTGTGCCAGAGTGGTCATTTGCTTATAAACACCATGAGTGCGCAGCAAAAAACGTTTGGTTTCATACTTTTTAGTCACCTGGTATAAATTTTAATTTTTATTAAAAACAAATAATATTATTAAACGGAACCACATTAAACCCACACAAAACAACGATCGAAAATTTTATTCCAAGGCTTAAAACTACTACTCGTATTTTCTAGAGGAAGGAATTGTAATACTAGGTGAGAGGTAAAATTTGCTCAAGGCGAAAGAATTATTATTTATTTAAAAACCAGCCCCAAAATTTTTTTGTTTTATTTGGAATGACATTTACGTGACATCTAGTATTAGATTTAGACATAGCAGTAGTAACCTGTATTAAATTAAAGCACAAGTTTTAAAACAAACTTGATGAAAAAATAAATAAGACAAAATAACACCCCCATTGTGAAGTAGTACGCAACAGCTAGAAATTGCACCTTCTTATGTCCCTCGGGAATAGTTTCCAGAGGGTCCTTCAAGAGGTAGACCCTTGCACCAATCACGTATGACCTAATATAAGTTCTCCAATCGAATGTGCTCATGTCAAATCTGTACAAGTTTTTATCTTGATCATTCATTTGTTTCCAAAGATTGTCAACATTGTCATGCTTGAAATTAAATGAACTAGTCGTAAAAGAAGTCATCAGATTAATGGCATAATCAAAGCGTCTCATGTTTTGAACAACACTAAAAAGTTTTTATTTAATTAATTATCAAAAATTAATTTCGATCACCAACACTGGTTTTTTTCCCCCACATAGAAGAATAAAGTCGACCAAAGAACATAAAACAGTATGAAAAAGAAATGTTTTTAAGTCGTGATAAAATTTATAATGGGTTACTGCCAAACCATAGTACCACATAGATTTGGTCGTTGGGTAATTTTTTATGCAAATCTCGAACAAGTCTTTGAATTTTTCTTAAAATTGTAAATTAAACATTGAATATTCATATTGACTCACTTACGCCAACTTACCGCGTTTGTGTTCGAACCAATGAAATTATAAATAGTAAGTGTGCTAGACCTGAAATCAATTTGTAATTTATTACGTGGTTGTAGAAAAAATTAATATTTTACTTTTGTTGGCCCACATGCCATGCTGATGCCAGGATTATGTTACAAACGTAATCACAAGGTACCAAATGTGCTGTTGCATTTTTTTGACAGCAGAAACTTCGAATAACTCCCACACTTACAGCTGTTGTCACTCCTGTAACTCCATTAAAATTGTCCACCCATCCAGGCATGGGTTCCTCAGCAGCTGACATTACTGGAATTTCAGAAAAATAGCAATAGTTGTGATAAATCTAATTTTACCTATCGCTGGTCGTACTATTGCTATTGGAAGATTGTTTTCTTCAGATTTCATCAAATTCTCAGCTATGGTTTTGGTGAAGACATAAGCGTTGGGCCATTTGCCCAATAATCTGAAATTTCGAGTTATATGACACACTTTTGGATCATTTTCATTACCCTGGAGTTACTTTGTTCAAAGTTTCGTCATCTAAAGAGTCTACAACTGAAAGTAAATTTTTAGATCTCATTGCTGGTTCATAAAGCGTTTCATCGATGTCAAAATAGGGAAAATTGGAGTAAGCTGTGGATACATAAATGAAAGCCTGAAAAAAGCACTCTAATCCCTCTTAATGAAAATTAACTGAAATTACTTTCAAATTTGGCATTTTCTTAGCCAAATGGATACAATCCTGTGTGCTTCTAACATTGATATAAGTCGCAATTCGCAAAGGTTGGTCAAACTTGACATTAGCAGCAGCATGTATCACGATACTTGTTTCGGCAATTAGGACATCTTCAGTTTCTTGTGAAATTCCTAAATTCGGTTGCTCACAATCGCCACTCACAAATACAATTTTTTTTCTAAATCCCGGATTTTCCTTTTTCAAACGCTCAAAACACTAAACGGACTATTTTTTTTTTAATTGCAAAAAGTGACTTACCGGAAAATCGAACAAATCGCAGAAACGTTCGTCGACACTTTTCCCCTTTTTGGGACGCACTAGAATATAGATTTTGGAAATTTCGTTTAATCGGAGAAGTTTGTCGATTAGAAATTTTCCCAAAAAACCGGTTCCACCAAGAAGAAAAACTGTTTGGTTTTTGAAAAATTCGTTGATTTCACTCGAAGTCATTTTGTTTCGATGTTCATGTGAAGGCATTTCAAACGAAATGAATATGTGAATGCGAAATGGTTTCCGAAAATTCATGGGTATGACAATGAAATATTTTAATGTTTTGTTTAAAATAAATATCAAATATGTTAAGTGTCAAGGTCATTTGTGCAACGTACGACTTTATTCCAATTTAATATTTTTTGTTTAGAGTAAAATATTTTATTCAAAAGAATAAAGTGAAAATAACATTAACGAACAGAAAAAGTCCATAAAACAACAAGAGTAAAAATGAATAAAACTCTCAAAATCCTGACTCTTTTTGTGTCTTAGAGAGATAGTTTGGCACTTTTCCACTTTCTTCTGATGTAATTCCCTCAATGAAACTCGCTCATATCGAAAAGATACAATTTTTTATCTCATTTCATTTTCTTTCAGTCTTTCGACATTCTTGTGCTTCAAGCTGAAATTATTCAACATAATCTTTTGACGTCTATCACGGTACTACAACCGTAATCGAACAAATCGCAGAAACGCTTGTCAACACTTTCCCTATTTTGGAGAAATTTATCCAATTTTTGCAATTTGGTCCAATCGAAGGATTATAATTTTTGCCCAAAAAACAGTTTTTGGAAAAAATGTTTATTTTGCTCAACGACATTGTCTTAAAGTGGAGCCGCAGTCAAAAAAGTATTAAAAAAGTAATTGTGAATTTTTTTAATTATTCGTTATTGAAAAAGAACAGTCATTTCATACATCATAATTTAATTCATTCAAGACGAATGAAGGTTTATATTTAATTTTGTAATTCTAATTTAGCTGTTTACAATATGTTTTTCTTCTATTCTACACACTTAAAAAATATTGAACCGAAAAAAAACATCCAAACTTTATAAACCACAAACCAAAAAACAGCAATAAGAGTGTAATGGGCAACAAGTAAAATCTTCACTTTCCTTCTTCCACGAGGAAGCGAATCTATTGTATCTTTCAACAAAAATTTCCGTCCTCCGGAAATACTATCAACTGCATATTTATTCCAATCCACTTGATCCACATAGAATTCAAAAGTTTTCTTATCGTTATTACTCAATTCATTCCACAAGTGTCGAACATTGGAATCGTCAAAAGCCCAATTCCGGGTTGTAAAAAACGAAGTTACTTCTAAAAGCTTGTTTAGTCTTTTATAATTTTTTACGGCTCTATAAACTCAAAGAAAATTAGAAATTCAAAAAATTAGTTTTTACTCACAGTGTGGGTCTTCCCAGACAAAACAAAACAAAATCCACCACGTATCCCAAAACCGTGTGCAAGAAAAAAATCTGTATGTTGTGCCAGAGTTTACTCTCCGCTATTTGACAACTATAATACCAGACTATTTTATCGGTGAGGGCATTCCAATATTGACTGTTCATAACTTTTAAAAATTCACCCCAAGTCAATTGATTTTTACTTATTGTTATGTAATTATAAATGGGTGTTTTTTTCGTTGTCTCACATCCTGTTTTCCAAGCGACTGTTATAATTAAATTAGCGACATAATCAACAGTTACTATTAACGCTGGTGCATTTAAACTGATATGTAAACTATGTATGACCCCCAAACCGATGCCCATTACTAGGCCAACAACTCCGTAGAAATTGTCAATCCAACCAGGAATTGGTTCTTTCATGGAACTTACAACTGAAATTAATTCAGTACTAGAAAATTCACTACTAGAATTAGGCGAATTACTGATAGCTGGGCGTACTATGGCAATAGGGAGGCTAGTACTAGCTGATTTGACTAAATCCTCAGTTATGGATTTGGTGTAGATGTAAGTGTTGGGCCAGGGGCCCAATAAACTAGAAAATCATTTAAATGGTTCTCAAAAATTCGAGTTTTGACACTTACGAGGGTGTTATTTTCGTTAAAACATCATCGTCGAGGGAATTTACTACAGAAAGTAAATTTTCAGGTTTCAGAGGTGGTTCGTAGAAATCTTCCTTAATATGAGGATTAAGACAATTGGAATAAGCTGTCGAGACGTAGACAAAACTCTAAAATGATCCCGTTTTTTGACAAATCACGCTTTTTGATCAAATTACCTTCAAATTGGGCATTTGTTTGGCCAACTCGAGCAAATCTCGAGTCGCTCGCACATTAAAAGCTGCCTCTTTGAGACTTTGGTCGAATTTAACATTGGCGGCGGCGTGGATCACGCAGGTCACTTCTTCACGCAACAAATCCAAATTTTGGGCACTAAGATCCAAAAAGGGCTCTTGACAATCACCATCGACCAAAGAGACTTTCTCCGATATGTTGATTTTGGTCGATTTGAGTAATTCGAAACACTTTTTCAATCATTTTGATTTTTGGGTTGTTCTACATACTTACGGGCATATCGAAAAGTTCCTCGAAGCGTTCTTGCGGCGTTTTTCCTTTTTTCGGGCGCACAATCAAGAAGATTTTTTTGATTTCGGGACATTCCCGGAGGAGTTTTTCTAAGATGAGTTTGCCAACAAAACCAGTTCCTCCGGTTAGGAAAAGAGTTTGGTTTTTGAAGAAGTCAACAATTTGGTTCGTTTCCATTGTCGAGTAGAGGAAAACTAACAAGAAATTGTCAAATTTGAATACAAAATTGAATACACTTGTCACGGCCTTGAATCTATTTTGCATTTTTTACATATAAAAATTTCGAAATATTTCCATTTTAAAGCAAAAGGAATTTGCACAATGGCGGATAGGGGGAAACCCTGAATAGATGTAAGAAATACAGGGTGAATAAAAAGTATGGAACCAAGAACTTTTTTTGTAAACTAACTACGAAAATAGTTATTTATTATACAAGCGGATAAAGTGGCCGTTTAATGAGCTATTTAACCGCGCAAGCTGCGAATTAAACAGACACTTTATCCTGCGAGTGTAATACAACATTTTATTCGATTTTGCCTTATAAACCTTTCGATTTTAAAGATAAAAATATCAGTCATCAAATCGTCAAAAATTTACAAATTTCATGATTTTCCTGATTCCTATGCGGCGACCATGACAACGACTTGTTTTTTATAAACAAAGTTGGAAAAATAAATGTGTTGTGAGTGTCAAGTCGTTTAGCGTGAATTTCGAATGTGTAACAGTTCAAAATCGCAACATTTGTATTGTTGCTCAAATACAGATTGAGGAACTTTAGAATCTGATGCGATAATCATTTTTATTGTAATTTTAAGTAAAAATATTGTATGTTTAAAACAGGGGATTAAAAGTTTTAATGCGTCGATTATTGACGTTTTAATGCGCTGCTTAAATAAACATAATACACAATGACTTTAATAGTTTGATTTGACATAAATAAACGTCATTTTATAAAGCAAAGTCGAATAATAGTAGATTATGTTATTAGGAGTAAAAGTGATTGTTTATGTGGCGAAGCTGAACGTTCATTTTGCCGAACGGAGTGAGGCAAATGGATTCAGCTGAGCCACATAAACTCACTTTTACTCCAAATAACATATACTATTTTATCTGCAAACGATTCAGATGGAACGAAAAGAGCAACACACCAATAATCAAGTAAATTACCTCAATAATCAGGACGCTTTGTAATAAAATCATAACAAACGTCATGCGTCAGTTTCGGAATTTGTGTTGAGATTTCGAAAGTGTTGATTGATTTAACTGGTGAATAACTGGTGTAGTTTATAGTGCAATATATCGAATGCTGATAATATACCTTGTACCTCTCCAGAAAATGCTGAAAAAGCGAAAGAGACAAGAAAGAGACAACAGTGATAAATGTCAAAGTAAGTGTCAAGTAAAAGTAAAAACTTCTAGGCGTAAAAACAGTGTTTTTACTCCATGTCTGAAAAGTAAAACTTTCACCTGTGTCATTTAGTCATAAAAGTGGTCACTTTTGTGACGTTTGCAGATAAAAGTCATTTTTAGATCTCATTTTACACTTGCAAAACCAAAATATAGAACTGATTAGGTTTTTGAATATAAATATGAAAGTGGTTTTTTTTATTATTTTTTTTAATGAACTTTATCAAAAATCAATTAGAAAAAAAACCCTATCAAAAACCTTACTAACTTATACATTAAAAACCAAAATATGGCCATTAGGGTATAATGAGCAACAAACAATATTTTGATTTTCCGTTTTCCTCTCGGAATAGTATCAAG